ACTACCTAGAATACCATAAACTGGGCAGCTAACGGCAGCAAAGATTTATCTAGAGATTTGAAATCAACGGTGTTAGCTTCAAAGCCTCTCAGGGAATATCCTTCCTTGCCTCCTTGCATCTTCCAGCTTCCTTCTAGGATCTCTGGGCACTCCTCAGCTTGTGGTATATCACTGCCATCAGTTCATTCCCGCTTGTCTTCCTCTGTGTCTCCTCTCCCAAGGAGGGCGGTCATTTGGGGGCTAGAGTCTTCCCTAAGGAAGTACAGCCCTTCTTTTACCTTGTTTATATCTATTAAGTCCCGGTTTCCAAACAAGGTCTTGAGAGTCTTGTGTGGAGCATATTATCCTGATGGACAAAACTCTTCCCAAGAGTCCCCAGGGAATAAATAGTCTAGTTTAATGAGTTAAAGATGAAAAGGTTAAAGGTTCCCCATGTTTGCTGTCTACATGCAGATAGGAGCACAAGACACAACATGGGCGAAGAAGGTCTGTCAGGTTAGATGAAGAAATCTCGATTCTCAGGCTTTTTTCTCTGAGCTCTCTCTCTCTCTCTCTCTCTCTCTCTCTCTCTCTCTCTCTCTAAATCTTACTTTCCTAAAGGTTCTCTCTCTCTCTCTCTCTCTCTCTCTCTCTCTCTCTCTCTCTCTCTCTCTCTCTCTCTCCTCCTACTTCTCGGACTAAGCACCTGGTTTCTTAGATCAGAAGCTATGGGAAGTTCTGGAAGAAATGGCTCAGGGGTGGGGACTTGAAGCTGGAAATGGGGGCCCCAAGCTGGCCGCTGCTTCCGATTCTGCTCCCACTGATTGCTCCTGGGCCAACTTAGAATTTTAACTATAGGACCTGTATTCTTGCTGAGGCCATCTGTCCATCTGTCCTTGTAAAAAGCTTTTGTAGACAACTATGGAGCTTCTGCATTTGTCTTAGCTTTCTTCTCTGTTTCACACACCAGAATATGTAGATTCCACAACCGCAGCATCTCAGCAAGGCTCAAGTACAAAGTATGTGGCAGGATCAGATTGAGAACTGAACCCCAGTTTTCTATTCCAAATGCCCTGCACCCTATGTGATGCTTGTGTGTGACTGCCTCAGAATTCACCCGCTGTCACCTTAATCCTCAGAGTGACTGGGCTTGGAGCTGGGGACCTTTGGGCGGTGAAGGTCAAGAAGTTGGGCCTCTCATCAGTGGGACTAGTATCCACGTAAGATACCCAAGAGAGCTTGTCCTGAGAATATAGCAAGAACAAAGCTGACAAAGCAAGGACACAGGCTGTCTGCAGATACTTCATCTGTCTTCATCTGGGTCCTGGATTTTCCAGGCTCCAGCACCTAGAGAATAATGGTTGCTGTTTGAACCGCTGATACTATAGTGTTTTTTGGTAGAAGCTTGGTCTTCAAGTTTGCTATACTTAATGTAATACTTGACTTTTAAAACCTGAAGACTCTGCGTGAAGCTTTCCTTGAGGAGAAAAGATGATCCCAGTGTTCAAAGGTTCTGTCCCAATCAGGTCGAAATTGCAAACAAGGTCATGGAAAGATGGAAGTACCTTTTGCCTCAAGAACCTTTTTTTGACTCCTGTGTTTTTTCCTTAAGTCTGCAAACTGCTGAAAACATTCTTGGGATGGGTGTGAAAGGGAGGAGAGGGGACTGGCATTGCTCCCATATTTTAGCATTTCCGTCTCTGAATTGAGAGGGATTGGCGTAGGATGGCTTTGAGGCTTGGGTTCCCTAGGGTCAAATAGAGGGTTTGCCATTTATTAGCTGGATAGCATCCCTCAATTCATTTAATCTCCGAGTCCCACTTTACTCGGTTGTAAAACTTGCTCTCTGCCTTGAAAGGCTCATGTATGCACGAAATAGGCATTTCTGTTTTGTCCTTCCTTTGGTGTCTGAAGCTTGTTCTTCGTTTCAGATTTGGTTTCCTGCAGGGACACCATGTTGACCTGGGTACTGAAATGACACCAACCCACAAGGACCATTCATGAGCCCAATCAATGTGGGACTCAAACTAAAAGTTGGATTTTTTTTTCTTTGCTGATAGGATACGAGGCAACTGATTTGTATCCATGGATGCCTCAGACGATGAGTAAGGACACCTCCAGGCATTTATATGTAACTATTAATCATAATTATTGCAGATTATTGTATGGAAGTGCTGGGTCAGGGAAAAAAGCTCATAGTAAAGAAGGTCTTGGATTGGCACAAGAATTGGATGACAAGAAGCCCTGGAAATCTGGCCATCAACTCCAGTCACACTCCATCACCTGCTTGTCTGGGTGACTTGAGTCCTTTCTGGGGCTTTTTGCTTTCAAACGTATCATCTTGATATGCTCAAGTACTATAATAAAGCACCTTAGCCTATAGTTGACAAATAATACACATTTACTTCTCACAGGTCTAAAATCCAGATGGCAACAGATCGGCCGAGGGACTGCGAGTCAGGGAACCAGGATAGTGCCTTTTACACATGGAGGAGGGGCAGAGCGGTTTCCTCGAATCTCTTGTATAAGGACACTGAGCTTGTTCATAAGGGTGGACCTCTTGTGTCTCCATCACTTCTTCCAAGAAAGCCCCCATCCCTTAGTTCCATCCTATTGGGTTCCAACAGAAATTTCAGGGTGCATTCAGGCAGCAGTACACATGTCAATGCAAAACCTTCCACTTTCCATCCTGCATGTCTACTCTGGAACTGCTTAGGTATGATTGGTCTGCAGAGGGCTGCCCCCCCTCTTGCAGTAGGAAAGTGTCTCACCCTCCCACCTCCCTCTGATGGCACTGAATACACGCTCAGTTCCAGTACCACTCCCCAGTCAGAAGCACTCCACCCTGTCATGTTCCTGGCTGACTATAGTGATGGTTACTATTCCAGCCTGGCCTAGCACTCCGCCCTCAACAGCCCTTCACTGTTGACCCTCATGACACCCTTGGTCCTCATAAAAGTTAAATGATTTTCTGGGTCACAGTTAATATTGGAGAATAGGGATTTGGATCTCAGATCTACTATTTCCCTATGTCGCTGATCTTGCTCTCCTTGGCGCAGGCCCTTTTGTCCCTTTCCAGGGGTGAAATTGTCTGTCCTCAAAAGGACTGGGGAATCAAAGCTGTTGACTAGCTAAGTCTTGAGACATCCAGGGGACATGGAAGATAGTTGATCAATTTCAGTTCATACCCAGGTAGAAGATCACTCTACAAAAGCCTCTCTCTCTCTCTGTGTGTGTGTGTGTGTGTGTGTGTAATGTTGCTCTCCTAGCAACTATATGTGCAAACGTTTGACAGTACAATCCCAACAGGCATTGTCAGGCAACAGGCCAATTTCCACGTAATCGCAGGTGGAATGGCAGCCCTGCACCAGCCTGTATATGCTCTAGCAGATGTCACTAATAGGCTTCTGTACAACGGCCACTTTTGAAAGCTGTGAATCTCAGAATTCTGAGGTGAGATGGAGATTTAGCAGTGTTAAGAGTCCCGAAGGCTGGCTGGGAAGGTGGCTCAGTGGTAGAGTGCTTGCCTTGCATGCATGAAGCCCTGAGTTCGATTCCTCAGCACCACATATACAGAAAAAGCCAGAAGTGGCGCTGTGGCTCAAGTGGTAGAGTGCTCGCCTTGAGTACAGAGAAGCTCAGGGAGAGCACCCAGGCCCTGAGTTCAAGCCCCAGGACTGGCCAAAAAAAAAGAGTCCCGAAGGCACAAATGACATATTCATGAGCACTTACCAAACACCTCTCATGTGACAGGAGTTGGGTCACACACAATTGTTGACTTAGGTGCTGGGGATATACAGAGGCAATGTTATCTGTGTGAATTTAGAACACTGGATTAAGCCATGCCCCAGTGGCTCATGCCTATAATCCTAACTCCTCAGGAGTCTGTGATCTGAGGATGGTGGCTTGAAGTGAACTAAGCAGAAAAGTCCATGAGACTCTGCTCTCCAATTAACCAGAAACATTCTGGAAGCAGAACTGTGGCCCAAATGGTAGAACATCAGCTTTGAGCAGAAAAAGCCAAGCAAGAGTGTGAGGTCCTGAGTTCCAGCTCCAGTACCAGCCCCAAGAAAAGAAAAATAAAGAGGAACAAAGAAAGAGAAAAGATGATTAAATAATGGCCTAAGACTGTTACAGCCTGGTCCTCCTGTACATGACAAATCTGTCTTGGGAGGATTTCGATGGAGCCCCATGCACACGCTGGCAGATACGGCAATTCTAATCAACTCTGCACTACTGATGACAGTAGGTTCCCTCTGCCTGTATCTCACTACCTGAATCCCTTTTGTTTCCTAAGACCCTTCCTGACAGACCGTGACAGATTGGGTGGCCACCATGGAAGACAGGTTTCCATTCTTCACATCCTCCTGCCTCCCTGACCAGATGCCCAGCATCTCTGAGTTGACATGATGCAGGAAGGATACGGATACAATCACTTGGAGAGTCCAGGCTCCTCCATTCTGAGCTACTCAAATATAAGGGCGACTGGGTAAATAGATGCCAGTTATTAGCATCTGGATGTCCTTGGACTTTTGCAAGAAGTTTGTAGCAGATGCTGCTTTTCCCATGAAATCCATGTGGAAGGCAGGAAAGTTTATGTCTTAGGGGAACTCCAGTTGCACTGGAAATACATTATCACAGTCCCTGAGAACCCCTGAGTGCTGACATTATAGCATAACTTGAACAAGCTTGGGGTAACAGAGTGGGGTATTATCCTAACCCTATCCTCTGAAAGATTTTTTTTCTTTCATGTTTTACCTTGTAGAAACTACACAATTCCCTAATCTATAACTGGGAGGTAATTCATCTCTCCTAAGGTGGTTGTGGTGGTTAATCCGTGAGCTATTATATCTAGATTGGTCAGCACATACCCAAATATTATGAAAGGCTGCGTTTATAAATAATGACCATGGGTCACCATGATGGAGAGACCGCTGAGGGAAACATAGGACCTTCTTGGCTCACATTTGGTAAACACAAACCAGGTGGCCAAAAAAAAAATCATTCTCCAGATCCCAGCATTTTAGTTAAATACGCACAATTTTATTGATTGAAGAGATTAGGACAAAAACATTAAACCAAATACAGGACAAAGCACCAGAGGCCATAGATCCACCATGCACATCACCCATCTTTCTCCTACCAGGTACTTAAAAAATAGGGGGAGAGGGAAGGGAAACAGAAAGGTCCTTCTTGACACAGCACCATCTTCAGAATGTAAAAACCCTCTCTCCTCTCTCTCTTCCATTACCAAAATAGAATCCAGGGTAAATCCATGGTTGCCTTGTCTCGTGGTCATGAATACGGAAGCTGCCCTCCTGGGACGGGGACTCCGACTAAGCAGGCGTGGTGAAGCATCCAAGATTCTGCACATACATGCCACGCACTATAATGAAGCACAAATTCAAGTAACATTTACATACTAGAGTCCACGTGATACCTACCCAAAAAACAGGACCATTTCACAGAACATATACAGGCAGTAAAATTCGAACAACTGAGGTACTAGAAACACAAATATTTATGCCAGAAGAGTTCTGTATCATACAGCAATAGAAAAAGCCATAATAATAATAACAATAATAATAATTAAAAAGAAAAACATTTTTGCCACTCGAAATCAAATAAAGCTATCTAGAAAAGCCAAATAAAAAGGTTATTTTTAGGGACAGAAATACTCCAAACAAGGGGAGAAAAATTATAAAATGTTAACTACAGCATGTAACATGTCATCCCAAGTCGACCCGTAATTGAAGTACTGGCTTATAGTTAATACATCACAATGTGACATTTTCCTTAATAAATAGAAGAGTTCTTGAAAACACAAAGGTGCGTATTGGGATATAGATAACTGTTTGTGTATTTATATCACCCTAGCTTTCAGCTTATTATCCTTCCCGCTTTTTCTGTCCTAACCAGAGGGCCTTCCAAGCCAAAGGATCATTCTTCGTTAAAGAAAACTAAATAGCTGCCCTGTATTTTATACATGTGGGACAACCTGCCTGGTTTCACTAGTTTCCTATAAAACAAAGACAAAATGTTTAGTTTGAGATTAGAATGTCCCCAAAGCGTCAGACTCCCGGAGCTCACTGCCCTCTGCGGCTCTCCTCTCACGCGAGCCAAGAGGAGAGTTTCATCGTTCAAAAGAACAAAGTCAACAAGGAGCTAGAATTCTCCTTCTACTTCCCCTTTAGGGCATGATACCGTAATGCATCTCGAAGTTCGACTTCTAATAGCTTCCTGCCACAAACCAACTGAAATCAAACAGAACAGTCTGTGACTAGTACAGAGTTGTGTCCTGTAGGGAGAAAGCACTCGCATGCCATTTCCTAACCAGGATAGTGAATCGTTTATTTCGAAGAAATGAGTTGAAGAGGGAGATTAAGAGACACCAACTGAACTTCTGTTTTGTTTTAATTTAGCACCCAGGTTGCCGATCAGTCTGTGTGCACCGAATTATTTTCCGATTATTTTCTAGTGAAATTATCTACCGCATAGGTGGTTGGCTTGTTTCAAAAACAAACGAACGAAACGAAACGAAACAAAAATCCTCAGCCAATTGTTCCTTCCCTGAATCATAACGAAAGTTAAATGCTAACAGTGCAATGCCAAGATGTGTCTTTGAGGCAGAGAGTTTTGAATTCTATCAAGATCTGCAACTATCTGAACAAAATGAAAAGTGGGGTCGGTGGGAGGGGCCCAACTGGTAAAGGGCAGGAGGGGGAGTCTCCCAGGCTACAACCGGGGCTTCCACCCACCCGACTCCAGCCCCTGCCCCATGACATCTCTCGCCCCAATGCTACATGTTTAATCAGCAACTTCAAAGTTTTCCTCTTCGGAACCAAGAAACGTATGAGTGCGAGTGTCTGGCTGGCTGGCTGGCTGGCTGCCCAGCCAGGCCATTGGTGTCCCCGGAAGAACTCCTTTGTGGGGCCCTCTCTCACTCCTGGTACCTGCCAAGTCTCCATGGACCACATGAGCTCAGTTAAAGAAAGGGTCCAAGTTCTCCTCCATGTTCACATCTGGCACTAGCTGGTCAGACACTTCCTTAGCACCGTATCCCGAATTTGAGACGCTAAAATCTGTAGAAAACCAAGGGTGGCCCAGAATTTCCTGCGAGGTCAGTCGCTCGGAGGGCTCCCGTCGCAGGATGCTTCGGATGAGGCACTTGGCCTTGGGCGACAGAGTCTCTGGAATGTTGAACTGGCCACGGCGGATCTTGCTGAAGAGGGAGCTGGGCTCAATGTCATGGAAAGGGTAACGCCCCACCAACATGGTGTAGAGCATCACGCCCAGGCTCCACACGTCCGCCGCCTTGCCTGAGTAGCTGCCAGTGGTGTTCAAGATCTCTGGGCTGACATAGGCAGGACAGCCATGCTTGTCAGACAGCAAGTCGTCATCTCCCCGGAGAATGTAGGCATCTTCCAGGCTCTCCAGCTTGACCCGAGTCCTGCAGGGAAGACCACAAGATGGAAGGTGTGAACTCTCGAGAGGTGGAAGACCGTCCTTCCATTGTAACCAGAGTCCTCACTCACGTCCACCTTCATTCACTCACTCATTCATTCACTGGACCAAGATGGACCATGATTCCTTGAGCACCTTGCGTCTTTCAGAGACAGAGCTAGATGCCCAGGGGACCCGGGACTTCAGGGGCCTTTTCGGAAAGCCTGACAATCTAACAGGGAACTCGATCAAATCATTACCAGCTAAACCATTAATATGACCTGATGAAGGAACAAGAGTTAGTCCAGCTTACATAATGATGGGTCCTACAGCATTTAAACTCAGATGCATTTTTAATCACCATTTATTGACTTATTTTTCAGAGTCTGGGGTTTGAACTCAGGGCCTTACACTTGTCACTTGAGCCATGATCCCAGCCCTTTTTTGCTTTAGGTCTTTTCTTTTTTTACATAGGATCTCGAATGGTTTATATTACCTTACCAGTGGCTGCAATTATAGATGTGAACCACCACACCCACCTTATTTGCTGAGATGGCATCTTGATTAGTTATTTGCCCAAGCTGACCTCAAACCTGGATCCTCTACATTTCTACCTACCAAGTTCACTGGGATTGCAAATGTGAGCTACTGCCCCTTGGCCTTGAACTCAGATCTAACCAACGGGGAAACCCACAGCATGGTCCAGCTCAAACCATTCACCCTGTCCTCAATGTTCCTCCTCCCATTTGAAGACAAGATGATTACCACCAAGAATGTGGATGTTTTCCCTGAATATGCTGAGTAACAGAGAGGAAGAACTGAACTCTGAGGCTCCTGGCATTCATCGTCAACCCAGCAAGAGGGCCCCACAACACCATGGGGTATGACATACATGAAGTCCTGCTGGGTAAATTCCTTAGGAAATGAGTTGACTTCTTCTATTCAGCATACATAATTTGGTGTAGGAGAAGCTGAGGACTGAAATGCCATTGAACTTGAAGGTAACCGAAGGGGCGCCATCGACCATCACACTAGCTGCTAGCTCTCAATCCCTCAGGCCCCACGAACTCTGCATCCATCACACCCACAAAGGTCTGCTATCAGGGCTGCAAGGGGTGGACAGATGGACAGGATACAGATAGCACCCATAAGGCCCTCAGGGCTCACATTGCTTTTCCCCTTCAGCTCAGGGGTCCACATCCGGGGCTCCACCCTGCTGGACCCTGCATGCTTATGGAGCTTAAGAATGGGAAAAACACACCAGCCACTGTGCTCCCTAAGTCAGAGCTTTGACCCAAATCCATCTTGCGCTGTCTGCCCTCCTGCCAGGTGTCACAGCCAGTGACAGAGTCCCAAAGTGTGCGAGACACCCAAAACAACTCGCTAGCCACAGGTCTGGTGAAATGTGACACTGACTCCAGCAGCTTGTGGGAAGAGGACAGGAACTCTGAAAAGCAAGGAGTGCTCTTGCTCTGGACTTGTTTCCACCAGAGAGGGGGAAACAGCTAGGAGAGGGCTAGGCCCTTCAGCAGGGTGGTTTCCAGGCTAGGCACCATCTCTCACAGCTCTGTGTGCAGAGTTCTAAGCCACCCAGAACCTCCGGTTCTCAGCTTTACAAAAGTACCCTGGGGAAGGCAGCTTGTTTGTTTGTTCAATTTTTTTTGTTGTTATTACAAAGGTAATGTACTGAGGGGGTACAGTTACATAAGTCAGGGAAGAAGTACATTTCTTTTTAGACAATGTCACCCGGAAGGCAGTTTTTAAAAAAGTTTTGGTGTGCTTATAATTCATCTTAACCATTTGTAAAATTCACCACCACAGGTCTTTTCCTCTTCCTTTTGCTCATCCCATATTCCATTGTAATTGGGAGAGTACACCTTCTCCTCCTGCTCCTGGAGCTTAATGCTCAACAAAAATAGGAAGGATCTAGCTGTGCTAATCTGGAATTGAGCTGATTAAAAACCAATCTTTCTTTCCCTTGCTTCCTCTAATCTAAGGTGGCCGGGGGCACTCACCCATCAGCCTGGCCAGCTGTTCCAAGATGGATGGACAGAGCCGAGTCCACGGAAGCCGAGGGCTGAGGGGAGGGGAAAGACAGGATGACCCCCACACCTGGCTCTATGAGTGAACCAGACTCCTCACCCCAGAGTCCTTCTTCCCTGGGCAGCCTAATTGCTCTGGGAAGATTATAACCACGGGAGGGGTAGAAATCCTAACTGTTCTAACCATATGAGCTGGGGCAATCAGCCTGCATGGAAAAGGCCAGTCCTAGAATTGGGGAGCTCAGGTTGGGGTCTGGGTTCGCTGCCGAAGCCCTACAGGGCTGTCTCGGCCCATCCATAAGGCAGGCCAATGGCCTCACCTTGGCTTGAAGCTGACCCCCAAATTTGTCCAATCCCCACTACTCCTTCCTCCATGCTAGTCCCTTTGCTGCTGCTGGAAGGCTGGCTGCCATCCCTCTGGTGATCTCCGCCTATGTCATCCCACTGTGTGGAATGCCCTTCCTCAGCTCTACAAAGCTCACAGGATCAGGAAGACCCTGTCCAGGCATCCCATGCAAAGCAGGACCAGAGCGCCATGGTCAGACCCCCCAAACGCCGTCCACTGTTCCTGAGTGTTCAGCATCCAGGCTCTATAACAGACTGTGGTTACTCCATGTGATGCCTTCTTTCACACGTCCAGGAGTGTGTGGGTAGGTGAGCGGGCCACTTGGGATTCAGAGAGCAATCCCTTGCATCACTGGTATAACACACCTGGTACTGGGCAGATGCTCAAGAAGCTAAGGGACAGTTGCATGTCAACTCTTAGGGCTTTGCTGGGCTGATCTCATAGGATCAATGACCCCTGTTCTGTCCACCTGGCCGAGGGTACATGGAAATGAAGACAGAGATGGATGGAGGACAGACTTGGTAAACCATAATACTCAAGACACTGTCAGGGGAGGAGGGAGTTACATGGAATTGCAGGAACTAGACTTGTCCCTGGTTTGATCAGGGACAAAGCTCCCACCTCCAGCTCTTCATGCTAAGGCAAATCTGCTGCCTTGTTCTTGTAGATTCTCTCTGAGTTCACACCTGCACATTGTGACTCTCTCCTCTACCCTCTGCCCCAGCAGGCAGCAGTGTGTCCTCATAAAAAGCGTGACCCCCCTCGTTCTAGAGGCTTTTATTCTACATGGGATGAGGGTCTCAGAATATATCCATTATTGTCCCTCAGCTAGAGGTCGCCTCTCTCTAGAGAGGGCTGAGAAGATATGCAGCTACCTAAATAATTCAAGAATGAAATAAAAAGACAATGCCTAATGCTACTTAGCTGGGTTGCTCCTGGGCTGATTTAGCAGCACTTTGCCATCCACTGGGGTAGCCTTGTCTCACGGAGTTTGGGATGCACTGCTGTAGCATCCTGGGGACCAGGCCAGATCAGGGAAAAAGCGCATGCTCAAGTCAGCCCAGAGTTCAAGTTGGCTTTAAAAATCACGACGTTACCAAGGGTACTAGGCCATCAACCTACCCGACTCTTGCCAAGTGCTTACATGTGTATTCTCTCTCAACATATGAGATAAAATTTCATAATAGGCACAGGAGTCCTGGTGTGGACGAAGAGCCACAGAGGTAAAGCAAGTTGATAGTGTGGAAAAGGCTGACCAGGGAGGGCTGCTGACCCCCTCCTGGCTGCCCCAGCTCCTGCCCATGCAGCAGATGGAGCTGATGACATCTGGGACATTCGGTGGATGAAAATCCATCCATGGAGCAGTACCTGTGCAGGTTGGTTGGAGAGAACCAGCGTGGGGGAGGACCCAGTTCTTTACTTCCAAGCATTCCATGCAGGTCAGGGGAGAGGGTCAAAGAAATCAGGGAGAGGACAAAGAGAAAAGGCAGCGCTCACAGGCTTTCTTCTGACCTGGCCTCCTGTACTTGTTTACGTCACTCAGAGGCAAGGCCCTGGGTTCTGTCTTTAATCACTGGCCTTCCAGGATGCAAAGCACGTGGAGTAGCTAAGAAGTCAGCCACACAGGTGGATGTCCAACTCTAGTGCCTGAAGATTTGCTGTGCAACTGCAGGGAGGCTGTTTTACAGTTCTGGGCTCTCTCCCTTTGGGGACTGGGCTGCCAGGAATGCACATGGGGAGGGCCTTGGGGGGCAGGATGTGATGTAGGTGGCAAAAGGAGTGGAAATGCACCAACAGTCTTAATACTGTTACTCTTTTTCAGTCTTTCCAACCTGGGGAGTGTGCGTTTTCCATGAAAATCCAGGGCATCGCTTGTGGTCCTCCTAGTCCTTCAAACGTCCCATTCATCATTCATGCATGGGGCATATAGTCATGGAGTACTGACTCCTCAAGCTGCTCTTAAGACTGTGGGGATAGCGCTCAAGACATGCAAGGTGTCTCTCATCCTCTTGTTTTTGTGAGGATTGAATGAAAAAGGTACGAGACAATCGCTGTGAAAACCCAGCAAAAAGTGAGGCAAGTATACTGATCCCATGGTTAAAAATGAGGCTCCATCCCTCAGCCCCAGCAGTCAAGGCATGCAGGGTGGAGGTGGAAGTGGGGAGCAGGGAGGGACAGAGGATGCTACATCAAACGCAGAGGCCCAGGCAAGGGGAAGTAGAAGTGATCTGGGACCTCACCCCCTTCGTCGGACCTTCCCATCGTACCTCCCTCAGCCTGAGATGTTTCTCCTGGCTGTGTGCCCAGCTCAGCCCTATATCTCATCTTGTCCCAACCCAGCTCACCAGGATGTGTGTTCTGGACTGAAGATGGAGAAGAAAGCTACCCCGGCGTGACCTGAGCGGGGAGGGAGTGATTGTGGTGGTGAAATGGCTATAAATGGCAGGCATGACATCTCTGCATGAGGGAGGCAGGAGCCCAGGGCAGGTGGTTTGGCCAGAGAAGCCAGATCCCTGCATGTCTCTTGCAGGCTGTCCCTGGCGTAGGAGAGGAACAGCCTGCCTTGCTTTCGACCTGCTGAATGAACACAGCTCCCACGTGGGCAGCCTGTGTTCTCAA